GGTATTTGTTGAACAGCTCAATTAAGTCACACACAAATTCTAGATGAAGAAATTGCATGTCTTCACATTCTCTAGGAATAAAAGTGTTTTTAGCTAGATGGGAAAGAGGTACTTTCATTCAGATTTAGCAAGCACAAATTATGTCTAATGAACAAAGCAATGTTTTTCATTTTCCTGTGTCATTACGAGTCTTGCTCCCAACACTGCTACCAGGAATAAGGAATCTAGACATAAGACAAGGTTCTACCCCAAACTACCAGTTTTCCCCATGGGAGACAATTTTTACTTAAAGAAATAGTCATTTGTACACATGAATCCCTGTGCAGGTCTGTGGTACCCTCTGGTTTTGGCTTACACAGTATACTCAAAGGCACAAGATTTCACTTGAAGAGATGAACTGGGTAATTATATTCAGAGGAGAACCTGAGACCAACCCATGAGAAGTAGAACTTGAGTAGTGAGGGAGTACTTTTGTGTTGGGGAAGCCAGCCACTGTACAACCCGACAACACAGGCAAGCTTTCATACGGTAGCAGATTTATTATGAACTCGACTTCACATACAAAGTTGCAATGGTCATGCCACTTCCAATGAACTCATTTAAAAGGTTTAAACATCACATTAGAGATGTAGACTATCCAAAATTCCAGAAAGGCATTTAAACAGACAACACCTATTGGTACTCATCTTGGGATGACAGAACAACAGGATTATTGAAACTGAGTCCCAGATGAGGGAACAACATTTTCTCCCAGAACTCAGGGAGGAGAGGAAGTCTTGATACAGACATTTTTGATCCAGGGCTTCATGAATAGTTGTTCCTATATGATAAGGGTAAAAGCAATTAAAAGTTGCTCACAAGTCACTCTCATCCAACAGTTGTTCACAGAAATCAGACGCTCAACGGGAAATAGTGTGATGAATGGAATTTGGTTTTTGTTTGTTTGTTACCAGAGATTGAACTCAGGGGCACTTAACCACTGAGCCACATCCCCAGCCTTATTTTATATATATTTTTATAACTTGGAGACAGGGTCTCACTAAGTTGCTTAGCGCCTCCCCTTTCTGAGGCTGGCTTTGAACTCACAATCCTCCCATCTCAGCCTGAGCTGCTGGGATTACAGACATGCACCACCACACCCAGATGGAATTTATACTCTTAAATGCAATCTATAGTATTACTCAACTATATCAAATATATAAGTAAAATATGCTATTGAAGGGGATTATCATGCATGTTTGTATAAATATATCAAAATAGGTTCTATTATCATGTCTATAAAGTTTTTTTTAAGTGATTAGCATCTAAGTATTGGTTGGATTACTGCTTTCCTGAGACTCAAGATATCAAGCATTTATACGTCTTAATTTTAAGTGGCTATCTATCAGATTCCTAGAACAAAGTTCATTTCCTTACCAAATGTCAATTTCAAAATTGTCTATGCACAAATTGTGTGGCATACTCAAACCCAGAAAAAAAATTAAGAATAAACCTTCAGAAAAACACCTTTCTTATGAGAAATACTAATTAGACTTAGCAAATTCCTCTAAATTTTCAAGCCTATTTGGCCTATTTCCTATTTCTATCATTTTTGTTATCTTATACATCCAGACACATATATGTATAAAGATACTCCCAATCTACAGGGTTCAGCTTAAGACCAAAGCAATTTGAGTATCCAGTATTCAAATAGGGCTTTTTAAAATTTCTTCCATTGACATTACACCAGGCAGATCACAGTTGACCATGAAATGATGAATAAACTAAATATCCTCACCTTACTGTGACTGCTAAAGATAGGTTCACATTCTTTGCTTTGTGGGGGAGCTGACATTGGTGGCCTTTCTTTTGTCACTTCAAAGCTATCACCCAACATATTGGCATCATACCCATTCATTCCAAAAGGCATCAGAGATAATTGAAACCTAAATGCAAAGCAAATTAAAAAATACATACACATAGGATCAATAGTCTTTTCTATGTCACAAAAACTTTTGTGGGAAATTATTTATACATTTTACATAGTAAATACATATTTATAGATATAAAATACAATCAGGTTTATGTTAGTGATAAGTAAAAAAAGTACTCAAAGTAACTAACTTAGCAGCAAGGCAAATTAGTTCGATGAACCTAAAAAAATGTTTATAATAGGATCTTGAATAGGATGCTACCTATTGAGCCAGAATTGATCCTAGAGCCCCAGAGTTGAAGTCTCAAATGTCAAAACAATCGTCAGATGTGACAAATATTCTATAGGACTGAACAGACTGACACTCGGCACCAAGCCAGCCACAAGTAGGTCTCTAACGCACAGAAAGAGATGGGGAATTTAAAATGAGACCCATGTGTGTGGGGGAAAGATTCCACCACCCAACTCGTAGCCTGGCAGGAGAGATGGATGCTCCACTCGAAAGTTACAAAGCTGTTAGTTTCTGTCACCTTCAACAGCCATCCCAACCCTTCTCCATCCTATTTAAGGAGTTACAGTGTCCCTTCCCTGTTGCTTTCCCCTGCAGAGGGGGGAAGGGAAAGGAAGGGGCTCACTCATCGCCCAAAGCCAGGACTTGGGTAGTCACAGGAGGATGAAGGTGACCAAGTGCACGTGTAAAGGCTAAAATCTCATTCACATTTCCTAGATCCCTTTGTGAGTATAACAGGCTTTATTTCCACATTTGCTTTTGAAACAGCGAATCCTTTTCTTGAGAGCTTAGTGGATAAAGTAATTGAGTTGCAACTTGTGCCAAGATCCTCCTTAAGTCCAGCATAAGGAAATAAATTGAAGGATCCAAACTGCGGTTTGTCACAGATCCATTCATAAAGGCACACAGGGAGGAGAACCAGTGTTTATACTGACCCCCGAGAAGGCATCCGTGGCCAGTCAAAGTTGGCCAGGAGAGACCTACAACCATCTCAATGGATGGACATCTCCTCTCCCTGTCTTAACATCATTGCCCTACTGTAGCACACCCAGAAAAAAAGAGTAGAGAGACTTTAAGACCTCAAAAAGAGATCACCTCTAGAAATCTACAATCAAAAACCTCATACCCTAGAATGGCTGAAATTGTGGGAAGGGAAAAGAAAAAATAAGTCGTATATGAAATTCTAGTGTTAAATGGTACTCCCCTGTCCACTAACCAGAGATCCAACTTCCCAGGATGCTATCAAGAAGTGGGGAAGATGTTACATTGCAGTGAAAAGCAGTGACTGCCAACAAGAACCCCACTTTTTGCATGTTTAGATTATCTAATAACTGATTAAAAGATGAACATAGCAATACCAGTCACAACAAGGCAACTAGAATTGGAATGCATCGTTGCTCATCGTCTTGATGCCATTGCTGTACACCACTCCTATTCATGAGCCAAAAGAGGGGAAACTACTTTTCTGAATTGTTATGTTTTGTATTTTTTTAATCTCCTAGCCTTTACCCTACCAGAGGCTGAAAGTTTACAAAGCCTTGGGGGTGGGTGGGGGACTGACTGGCATTGTTCAAGTTAGAGGCTAACCCCTGGTTCAATTCAGTGGGACAGGATATGAAGTTCTTATAAAAATATAGCAATTACTATTGTAGCCACTGGGGTTGAAAAGAAATTGGAGTCTGGAAGAACAGATAGTTCCTCAGATTAAAGGAAGTTGCCCCAGGCACATTTCCTATCTATTCCAGGAAGTATAGGGAACTCAGACCAGTTTGTGAAAACTTTTCATGAGAAAAGCATGTTTCTTTAGAACACAAGCTTCAGGGATGCATGTTTTCCTAAATAACTAAAGACAAGTATTTGTGCATTCAAACTTGAGGACTTAGTTCCTCTAGCCTCAGGCCTAATGCTAAAAGCCCAATACCTTATTTGTAGAGAACCCTAAAGACCAAATTTTCAGAGATTTGCAGAAGTTTCAAGTAGAATATGGTATCAACTGGTGTCAGATCTTGACTCTAATAAGCAGATCATATAATAGCTACTTGCTTCAATGCCTTCATTAATAAAGACTAAAGATTATAGCACATACTTTATGGCATTAAGATTAAATGAGATGATTTAAGAAGGATGTTTCCACAGTACCCAGGATGTCAGAAATAGTCAATAATGTTCCTTCTCTTCCATTATTTAGTAACCATTTATCCTTCAAACCGTTTTATATTTGCTTTCAACTCCAATATGATTATGCAATCTAAATGTAACTAGCATAAAAAAACACAGGACTTGGGGAAAGGCTATTTAGTGTTCAGAACCACATAAAGAAAAATCTGAATGCTTATGATTAATCAGTAGCCACTGTCCAGTTAAAAATGCTATTTATTCCGTTTAGCAACACTGTCCAGTATCATTTTCTGTGATAAAATAATTGCTTTAAATTTGCACCGTGTAACCCTAGCCACGTGCTGTCATTGAGCATGAAAAATAGCTAAAGCAACTAAAGAACTAAATTTTACTTGTATTTAATTTACTTATTCATTTGTTGCGTTATTTAGGTGCCAGGGATTGAACCCAGGGGCACTTAACCACTGACCCACTCCCTAATCCTTTTTATTTTTTATTTTGAGGTAGGGTCTCCCTAAGTTGCTTAAGGTCATCCTGAGTTGCCGAGGCTGGTTTTGAGCTTGCCATCCTCCTACCTCACTCAGCCTTCCAAGCCACTGGGATTATAGGCGTGTGCTACCACACCCTGTCTTAGCTGTATTAAATTTAAATGTAAATATTGCATGCAGCTATGACTCCTAGACAACATAGGTTTAGAGATGATGACTATTAAAGTCTAAAGAACACAAATTTTTTAAGTGTTGGTTTCTTCCAAGGTGCCCCAATTTTGTCAGGAAATATGAGGATATAGTGAGAATGTGTGTGAAGGCATCCTGAATATCTAAAGCTGGCATTGCTAAGTTGCAAATTAGAATAGGCATGACAGATTAATTAGAACATAAAAGACAGTCCAGAGAAATCCAAACTTATACGGTCATTTACTTCAGAGGAGTCAATGCAATCAATCCAAGAGGGAACAGAAAGTCATTTAAATTGAGTATTTTATCAACAAGATATCCATGGAAAGAGAAAATATTTGATCTGCCTAAATGCCTATAAAAATTAAGATGGCTTACAGACCCAAACAAATCTAAAACCACAAAGTTTTTCCAAAGAAAAAATTTTAACAGTAGGCAAGAATTTTAAAACAGAAACCAATAAGCATAAGAAGAAGTCTATAAATTTCAAAATGAAGTATGTCTGCTCATCAGAAGATACCATTAAGCTGGGTGCAGTGGCACCAGCCTATAATCTCAGTGACTTGAGAGGCTAAGGCAGGAGAATCACAAGTTCAAAGCCAGCCTTAGACACTTAATGAGGCCCTAAGCAACTCAATGAAATTCTGTCTCAAAATAAAAAATAAAAGCAATGGAGATGTGGCTCAGTGGTTAAGCACCTCTGGGTTTAATCCCTGATACCAAAAAAGAAAAATGGCTAGAAGACAACTATTATCATCTGATTAAACTATCAGAGTTTCCTACATTTGTAGTATAAGTGCAAACACTACACCCTATTTGAGAAAACAGATATGTTTCTTTCAAAACTAAGCTACTCTTTCCTTATGATCAAGCAGTCCTATTCCTAGGTATTAGCCCAAAGAAAACATGCACCTGCACAAAGAATTGCAGAACTCTGGCCAGAGCCGATTTATACATATCTGCCAGAGCCTGAGAGCAACATGTCTTCATTACAATAACAAACATGCAATGGAGAGCAACAGGTTACTGGAATATACAAGGCAAAGGAATCTCCAATATTATGCTGAGAAATAGGAGCCAGACAGAGGTACACACTGTGACTCCATTTATACAAAGTTACAGAAGAGACAGGGCCGTGAGAGGTAGCAGAATCGCTCTACAGTAATCATAGTCTGATGAATGCTGATGGAGTTTGGGGCCAAACATATCAATGAGATGACAAATGCATATACTCATGTAACATCTATATGTTTAATAGTGGGTAAATTTTTGTTGAAAGTAAGAACTTTTAAGTAAATATTGATCCCTTATTCACGACAGCATGAAGTACTTAGGGGAAATGCACTTGTGTCTGCACTTAGAAATGCATCCAAAAAATTGGTGGATGGAGAAGTGGATGCTGGATAAAGTTCAGGAAAAGTGACTGGATGTGAGTTATACAGGGGTTCACAAAAACAAAAATCCTTTCTACTCTTGTATGCATTTGAAATCTCTCCTATCAAGGATTGAGAAAATTTTAGACATCATATTTGTTCCCTAGGCATCCTCTGGGTCTGTGTTCTTCACAGAAACACATATCAAAGAATAAATTTTAAAACATGGAAGGGGATAGTGGGCTGTACGTACCTCTTCACAAAGCAAACCACCTGAAATGAATAGGTGATATTCAGTGTTGGTCTGTAATTGATCTTGGATAGTATGAAAACGTCATCCCCTGAGAATACCTGAAATGATTGAGAGTTTTAATACTAGAAGCATTGAACTATTTCAGTGATTGAATAATTTGAAGAGAATGTGTCCGTTCTAGAAAAATCTGAATATGGCATTTTACATTAAGACAGTAGACTGAGTGAAAACACTTTATCCTCCCTTTGTACCTATCTCCACAGCCAGATGAGGTGGTAAGAGGCAACTGATATCTCTGGGACTAGTTTAAAATATATTTGCCCTTTCCAAAATAGCTTGTCAGGTGCACATGTCCACACCCAATTCCCACCCAAAAAAAAAAAAATCTTAAAATCTGACAGCAGGTGAAAGGAGAAAAATGGAGATGACATTGTTCATAACTTTGAACATTTTCAAAACCCCTCATCTGAAACATCATCATTATATAAACATATACTTGACCCCGATGTGAGAATTTATGATGCAAGTGTTGTAGTTGTGCTTGAGGTTTTTTAAAAAGAGATCTTTGATACTATGCATGCCTGAATAAAAATGCAGAATGTTTTAGGAAGAATCATGAAGGTACTTACAAATTTATTGATCCCACAGGAAATGACAGGATAAGAAAACTCATAGTTGAATGAGAGCATCCTTGTTACAGGACAGCCATCTCCCAGGTTAATGTCACCAATTTTCACTTCTGTGTCATTATCAAAGGGCCTTATTTTCATTCTGACTATCAACCAATCATCAGAACAGATTGAGATCACTGCTAAAACAAAACAAAAATCCAAGAATCAATATGTTATTAGCACATCTTTACCTTAAGACGTAATAGTGCAGTCTGACAACAATATAACACAAGCCACACAGGTACCTTTCAGTTTTCTGGTAGCCAGATTCAAAAATAAAAAGGACCTATAATTTGGGGGATTTTTAAAAAATTATTTTTAGTTATTTGCAACACCAGGATATACCCTGACATAATCATGAAAGCATTTTGAAATTTAGTTCATGTAACCAAATGTATCCCAAATACAATCATTAACTAATAATAAAACAAAAATTGTGATTTCCCTTCTTTCTTATACAGATTTTCTGAAATAAGGGTGCATTGTCTCTTTGTAGCACAATTCACATTCCAAGGACAGTGGGGGTAACTTTGGAACTCTGTATTTTACACTGTCATAAAGCCCATCTTAAAAGATAATTTGATATTTAATTCTTTGCAACCATTCTACTCATATTTAAAATGAATAGAGTGATTATTACCTACCTTTTGAAGTTTGTGCCTAGAACTTAAATGCTCAATCAAGTAAAAGCAATTTAAAGGTCTGTATAAAAGGGGATTCCCACCCCAAATCCCTTCATATAGATAGACCTGAATCTTAATACTACGTAAAGGATTGGTACATGTAGGTTCAGACTCATGTTGACCTGAAGCAGCTGTGGCTATAGACTAATAACATTTTTAAGAGTAAATATAAGGCACATGATGCCATCTATCCCTAAATATCAAATTGCTTTATCCCCAGCCACATGGCATGCATTTTATCTTCAATGAGGATTTTAATTAAATAAGTGATGTGCCCAACCACAGGGATAAAACATTAAACTTTTTTCTCAGGACACTTGGAAATATTCAACGATCTATAGACGTCTTTTTGTAAAATGTTGGCTGAGGAAGGGGGCCTCATTTGGGCTAGAAACATGAACTTGAACAACTCCACACTGTTGCTTACTGAGATAGCTAAAATAGGTTAGAAATGCAAGCGCAAGGTGCTTATGCTTTGGAGGGGAACTGTATTTTTGCTATGAACATTAATAGTACGAATTATATAAGTAGTTTGACATATACTGATAGCACATATAGTGATAACAGTTTAGAAGCAAGATGTGGGATAGGAATGAAACAAATTTGCAGTCCTTGTAGCAACAGGAACATAGTTCAATACTGATGTTCCACATCAAAATGGGAATCACAAGCACCATTCAAACCAAAATAGATGCTATAAAGTAGGCAACCCAACAATGGATGCATTAACTTTAAAAGTAAACCATTCCCAGGCAGGCTCACTATCGTTCCTGGGAGAATGTTAGACTCCAAGCTTTGTTTTTCCATTGGAGACTCCCAAGTTTATTGTCATCACATTAAATAAGCAGAGTTTTGCTATTTATGTGCCAGTTTCCAGGTCAAGTGTCAATGCACACACATATATTTTTGTTTTTGAGTATACAACAGGAGATTTTGGAGACAGGACAGTTAATCCCTTCATTTCCCAGATGAAAAATGAAATGCTCAAACCATCCAATAACTTGATCATGATATCAAACAGAGTAACATAGTGTAGCTGGCATTAGCACCAAATCAAACCAACGCTCTTGGCCATCACTAGTCGACCGAGTCATTACTGGAATCCAGACTATGTTCTCTATCTACTGAAGATCTATGTCTTAGGAAGATATGGTAGAGTGAAAATGTGAAAATCAGAACAGCGAATGCTCGACTCCCTTCATCAGTTAATTATCCTTTTCATAGAGAATCCTCTGTCAGTAAATTATCTAAGGCCTTGTTAAAGTGTGGTCCACGAAGGGGCAACATCAACATCCCCTGAGCACTCAGAAATATTGATTATCAGGTCTAATCCCTGACTCATTGAATCACTGTACACTTACAAAGATCTCTGATGACTTGTATATACATCAAAGTTTGAGAACTGGTCTGATGGGTACCAACACTGAGATCTGCAAGATGGCCAATAAATAAAACAGAATCAGGTGAAAAAGATAGAGAAATAGATGGGAGACAAGATTCCTTTTTAAGCTATTTGTTCAGTTTTCATTTCACTGATGATCTCCAGTGAAGGACCAAAGGCTTTGCCAGAGATAGATAGAGTCAACCACAAATATGTAGGTGGTACTCGCAGAGCAGGAGCTAGGTTTTTCATTCATTTTACTCCCATTTCCCAGGCTAATCTGATGTAACTCCAGTACACTTAATTTTCCATCCCACTCCCAAACTCATGCAGTGATTTTGGTCTCATGGAATGGCATGGAGAAGTCAGACCCACGTAACAAAATGTATATTAAGGTAAAAATCTCAAAATGCAGAAAGATCAAACAAACAAGTTATGACAGGCAAAGTCTGGAGACGAATAGCTTGACCACCTCGGAGAAGCCGAGTCAGAGCACAAGAGAAGGGATCACAGAAGGATTAGGGTTTCATAGCGGGTGTCCCCACTCGTTCTTATTTACTCAGAAACCCACTGGAAAGAGAAAGTCACTATCCTTAGTCATTAGAAATCAAGATTATCTGAAAGAGCTGTGGTTGGAACTAGTTTCTGATCTGGTTTTGCCTAGAAAACAGTCTCACAAACACAGGTCTTCAAGCACTCTAAGCAGAGGTAGAGCAGCCCGAGGCTAGTTTTCTCGCCTCAGTCCTGTGGACATTGGGTTCCTTTGGTGGTGGTGACCTGGATGCTCTAGACTGTACTCTTGACCAGTATCCACTAGATACCACTAGTAACAACAACAAAAAATGCCTCTAGAAGTTGCCAAATCTTCCCAGGAGGAGGGGGGGACGTCACCCCTGCTGAGAACCAGTGTTATAAAGAGATGGAAGAGGAGCCATGCAATGGCAGACATGGGGAAGGTCCACCAGCGTCCCCTCTAACCCCTTGCTGCAGCATGAGCCTCAAGGACTTCAGGCTGGGCCCAGAGGCAAACCATAGAAGGCTTCTCAAATTACCTCACTGCAATACTAAGTCAGACTCGCCTACATCCCAATAACCTCTTGTGGACGGCCAAAATTAGACACATGGACTTCAAATCACTCACCCAGGTCCACACCGCTAACAAGTACCAGAATTGAGGTTTCTGGAAGCTCAGCAGATGAAGGAAACTATTATGGTCTCTCCGAATCCAGCTGCTCACTTCTTCGGTCAGTACCGCATTCAGGTGAAGAGTTTCTACCCTCTCCTCCCAGAAACCCATGGATCTCTGGCCCCTTCTTTTATAACTAGGATTCGTATATTTTCAAAGAAATATTAGAAAAGGGATAACCATAGGAGATAATTAAACCTGAGGGGCCCTCAAATTGGTTTGTAAAGGCAGAAAATACCTGGAGCAAAGGTTAAAGACACTAACTTTTTAAAAACTGAGTCTAACTGGGAACAGGCAGCCCTTTCTGTTGGTTTATCATCCGGGGTGAGTGGGGGTGGGGAACAGGTCTTTGCACAGCCGAGTTTTAGAAAACAATCTTGTCACTTTAAATCACTATCCTCCAAAGACATTTTTTATTTGTACCTGGTTCGAGTCCAGAAGAATTCCAAAATATCAGAGAAAGGAGGAAGGATCCTCCTAGGAGCACAGAGGTCTTCATCATAACAGCCTCCACGACACTGCAGCCAGGGGGAGCAGGAAGTGGCCAGGAGTTGGGCGTCCTCGGGTTTTTATAAACCTTGGCCACACTCAGCTGTCTGCAGTTATCCTCCACTTGGTTAGCACAGGAAAACTCTTTTGCATCTTTGCTCTCAACGTCAGGTCCATCTGCTAGTGTAGTTACATGATCTCACCTGGGAGGCGCTTAAATGCAAAAGATCAGGTTCCACACCGCAGCTACAAGACCAGTCATCAAACGCATTTCAACAATTGCCAGGTGGGTCATTTGCATATTAAATTTCAGAGACATCTCTCACAGCTTAGTCTTAGTGTGGTTTACCCTAGTACTAACTTTTTTAAAAGTACTTTAATATGAATAGATAAAGATAATTATGTTAAAAAATAAGGATATCTATAAAATCTCCTATATATCTAGGTACCTGAATGCACCTAGGTGATATCTACTTGTCTGTATGTGCTTATTAATTATATTATAATGAACAAAAGCTTAAGAGTTTATCAAGCAACAAGAAAGCTGACACAGGGCACACATTTCTGATTGGATTTCTCATTCTCTCATTGAGGTTTTAGATTTTCTGAACTACTAATGAGTTGTTCATACCATAACTCTTTCATATCATAATTTCTGGAGAAATCACATTTATTGACCCTATGGATGTCTTCTCTTAAGAAATGTTTTCCTGTTTCCTATTTAGTTGTATTTTTAAGTTTAGTTTGTAAGGATCATATATTCTAGACATGACTCTTTCAATTTATGCATATTATGAATCTTTTGTGCCAATTTCTAGGTGTGATAGTTAATTTTATGCCCGTTTTACTGGTTCACAGGTTTCTGAATAGTTGATTAAACATTTTTCTGGGTGTGTCTATGAGGTTGTTTCTTAGAGAGATTCACATGCGACTCAATAATCTGAGTAAAGCAGATTGCCCTCCTCAATGTGGGAGGGCTCACCCAATCCACTCAAGGCCTGAGTGGAACTAAATGGTTGGTGAAGGGAGAATCCGTACTCTGCCTGGCTGTCTCCAAGCCGGGACATTGGACTCCTCTTCTGACTTGAACTTGGCCTGGAACTTACACCATTAGCTCTTCTGATTCTCAGGTAGTTCATGTGCATAATAATTTTGACAGACCTTTCTCAAAATGTCTTTGGACTTGGCCTAGAAGTAGGGCATCAGTTCTCCTGGATCCCCGGCTTGCCCACAGCACATCCTGGGACTTCTCGGGCCCCGTGATACCAAGAGCCGAATCCTTATTTTATACATGTATGAAGTTTGATTCTGTTTCCATAGAGAACCCCAAACTAATATGGATGCGATCCTGTTCATTTTCTCGTGGTGCATTCTTTAATTCTTCTGTTAAAACAGAAAAAAATAAATAAATATTGATGTGATCTAAGAAATCAATCTTTCTCTTCATAGTGTATTTCATTCCTCTTTTAATATGTTTACTGATCTGAAATCCATATTTTCTAATATTTCCCTCTAAAAGCTTTATAATTTTATTCATCCTATTTAAGTACTGGATCTACTTTTATTTTTTTAACGTTTCAATTCCCCCTCTTAAATGAATTCTTGTTAGCTTGAATGTGAGGGAAATGATTAAATTTGATCAGAATTTTTTTACTGCTATTACTCTACAGACCACCAGCATCCAAGACTACAGATAATGCTTGCACTTCTTGACTCTGGCCCTCACAACCTCATAATCAACAATCAGCAGAAAGGGGTAACATAGCAGAGAGATGCAGCACATGTAAACAGTGCAGGCCCCAGGACTCCGGTAGTGAGGCCCTTCCATCCTGCTGCCCCTGCCCTAAGTTTGTTACCTCTCACTCATCCACACTTCTTTGCCTCTTGCTGTAAGTATTATGCCCTGCATGATTTCAGCATCACTTTTGGTATGAACTTTTGGAAGCTCTATGACCTCCACAAGAGCTGATCTGACATAGCTATAGACAATTTCTAATAGTGCCTTTTTCATTTGGACGTTTATTTAATTAGAAATCTTTGGGTTCTCTCCATCCTTTGTTTTTCTAGCATTTCAGCAAGCTGCAGCTAACTCAAATACTTTGGTTGAAAACCCCGAGAAGTAGGAAATATATAATTTTTAAACACAGCACATTTATTTACAAAAGGAATTGCAGCTACTCAACTAGCTAAATCAAATTATCTTCAGTCTAGTCTCCATAGGTGACGGATATTCTAATGATCGCCTCCCCAGAGAAGGAAAAAAAAAAATTTCTCATGAACTGAAATAAAAATGTCCTTATATTCAGCATGAGAGACATTCCATATTATCAATAAATCTTCTGATCTGTATTTTGTCAGGAAGCAAAAGGGGGCAGAGGAAAAGTAAGCAGGAAGAGAGGAGAGACAATAGAGCCGATTGCACTTGGAGAATATATTGTGCACTCTCCGCTGCCCAAGGAGGAAGTGCATATGTGACATCACTCTGGGCTTTCTCCTTGACACTTTCAATTGTTCATAAGGGAATTCAGTCCTCGTTCCATTCACAAGTGAGAAGGGAGTCCCTGGACCACTTCATCTGGCTTGCTGGTGGCCTCCCCCAGTTCCTCACAGTGTAGAAATTCTGTGAGCCTAGGGTCCTATCCAATAATTGGTTGATTAAATCCAAGACAGCACAGACTGCAGGATTTTTTTTTTGTTTACTTATGAGAGATTAAATAAGATTCACTTACAAAGCTGACAGAAATCGTGACAGCGAGTATAATTTTTCCCCCTAAAAACACTAGCCTCTTTGTATGAGCAAGATAGTTTGTAAACTTCAGATTCCTCTGAGTTGAAATTACTACCACATAATAAGATAAGTGATGCAAAAGTAGGGGTGGTGGATTACTGAAAATCCAAGAGTAGCAAATAGAATAGTCCACTTTCTCTTAGCCTTGCGGGGAGAACTCTATTTCATTTTATTTTACACCCATAAGAACTGAAATGGGTATTAATCAGAGAAAACACCACAGTATAATACTCAAACATTGTCTGTGCTCTTGGGTGGTGAGCACACTCTTTGCTTCCGCAGAATACAGTTGCCTGGTCAACCACCCTACAAGTCAGGATTTCAGCTTTCTTCAAAGAAGAAAAGCAACTCTTCCGATTTTCAAAATTTTATTTTTAAAAATCACTTTCACCCACAAATTTAAGTCTGGGAAAAAAAACTGCATAAATATGTGCAGCAGAGCAAATTCATTTTTAAAAAGAACATTATTTAAAAGGTAAAACAGAACATCCATAGACATCTTCCAAGAGACAGTGCAGTCTTCAGATGACTGGAGTTCCAGGGTTGGTAGAGTGCACACCACCGGAATCGACAGCTTAATTCCTCCAATTCACATCAAGCAATAAAAATTAGACAGTGCAAGGGAAAAACTGGTCCTGTAATGAAGCAAAAGACATAGACAGTGGCACTGACAGGAAACTATTACAAAAGTCCCTGAAATATTTCATTGTGTCTCAACCAGGAAGGAGGGCATGGACTATCATGACTCAAGTAGAACCGATGTACTCACTACTTGTATACACTTGTTATTGATTAATAAACTTAAGTTTTACATAACAGTAACTCAAATCTTAAGATGGTTACCAGATACCTGAAATAAAAATTAACAAGGTCTGTCCCTTCTGGGATGCTAAAGTTCAAGGGCTCTAGGTCATTTGAACAATTCTTAGGAGCTCCTTCCAATTCAAGAAGGGTTCTCTCTTGCACACATTTATTTAGTCCTTACAAAGCAAAATGGAGATGTTAGAACTAACACATACTATCCTTATAGCAACTCTTGTCAATTCCCAGTTCCTTTATTCATGTTAGGGTCAAAGTTTTATTCTGTGGTTGGTTTGAGAGCAACCTGAATAGTCATTGAAGCCTCCTCAAAAATGGACATTTTTATCTGAAAGAATAATGAGAAACAGGCCTGCTGTGGTGGCACACGCCTATAATCCCAGCGGCTCGATCAAGAGGCTGAGGCAGGAAGATTATGTGTTCAAAGTGAGCCTCAGAAAAAAAAAAGAAACCAAGGCACTAAGCAATTCAGTGAGACCCTGTCTCTAAATAAAATACAAAATAGGGCTGGGCATGTGGCTCAGTGGTTTAGTGCCCCTGAGTTCAATCCCTGGTATCCCCCCTAAAAATAAGAAGAAACACATGACAAATTATATTCCTGATCATCAGAAATGCATGGTTATAACAAACCTAAACTGAAGTCACATGGGTACACATATGTACACATGTACACATGAAGTACATGGTACACAATATGCCACTTTGAACCCTTACCTTTTTTTTAATAAGTACATTTGAAAACATGTACAGTACTAAGTCAAAATTCCTACCCACCTGATATTCCTGGAAGGATCCCCAAATTTTCCACTTGAGATGATGTTGACTCTCTGGTTTCCACTGGCCCTTGGGTTGCTTCCCCAGAGGCACTACTATTAGTTTCTACCCGTTTTTCTAGAAGGGAGAATGGAAGCTTTCTGTAAAGGAAGGGGGAAGAGGGTACATGGAAATGAGGCCAATGCAAATATTACTATTTTTATCATGGCTGGGAATATAAGGATAGAAACTAAATACTACT